AAATAAGAGTTCGACTTATATAGGCGATCACTTTTCTGGCAGAAGCCTGCAAGAATATAACGTGCTCTAAAAAGTTAAATGAGGTAGAATATCTTAGACCAAGGTCTCGGACTGCGCCACACACAGGAATAGGGGTATCGTTTAATGTAAGGATGTTTAGAGAAGGGCCACAGCCGTAGTACAATAGATTACTCTTGTCCGTGGCAAAGTGCAGCTTCCAGGAGTTACTCCAGAGCTCCAATGCGGACAAGTCAGACTGAATATAGGCTAAGTTAGGACTACGTTGACCAGGGGTGGAACAATACACAATTTTAACATCATCTGCGAAAAGGTACGGCTTTCCATACGAGATTTCGTCGAGGAGATCGTTGAAATAGATTAAGAATAAAAGCGGGCCTAGCACGCTACCTTGAATCACTCCACTAGAGATTGTAGTGGCTTCAGATGTATAGTTACCGATTTTGACTACTTGCTTTCTACCCTCGAGGTAGGAAGACAACCAATTTAGAAGCGAATTAGTGATAACATAGGACATAAGCTTCTGCAGCAATAAATTGTGTGGGACACGGTCAAAAGCCTTTTGGATATCAAGAAATATTACGATGATAGCACTTCCGGCGTCTCTTGCTCTAGTCACATAATCAAGGTAATCTAACTGGCAGGTAGTGCACGACCTACCTTTCAAAAAACCGTGTTGATGTTTACTGAGTAGGCTCATAGAACTCAAATATTCTATTATGCGTTCTTTAACTATCCTCTCCATGATTCTGGAAATAATAGATGTGTGGTGGATTGGGCGGTAATTTTTTACATCTTGCATAGATCCGCTTTTGTGCCTTGGTATTATAGTTGATTGTTTCCAGTGTATAGGATACTCCCCATTGAGCATGGAAAGTGTAAATACATTAAGCAAAAACAGGGGGATGTCTGGACCTCCGTGCTTTACCAGTATTGGAGGGATGTTGTCAGGGCCTGGTGAGCATGATGGCCGAACTAATCTGAGTTGGCGACATATGTCACTAAGTGTAAATTCAACAGTTTGGAGTGTATTACTCCCTCTGTGTATCAGCTTGAGCTGAGGATCTTCTTTCGCATTAGCGCCATAAGTAGACATAAAGTAGTCATTGAAGATCGAACATATGATTGCACCGTCGGTTATGGCAGTTCCATCAGAGTTTACAATGGTGTTTATACAACTTGATTTTCTATTCTGCCTACGGTCCAAAAGTTTTGAGATGCAGCCTACCACATTGGCGCCCTTCAGTGCCATTACTTCCTCAGAGCATAGCATTTTGTGGTGGTCTTGGTATAACGCTGTAAGCAATCTGGTGTGGAGCATCAGCAGAGTAAAATCGTTAGTTTTCCTAAATTTTTTCTTTATTTTATAAAGTTTAGTGGCTACCTTTTTTGAGATGCCTGCAGGAGCAGCAGTCCTTTTCAACTTCTTAGTACGTTCTGGAGCCACAGCTTCAACACAAAGCTGAATGCGGTGGTAGAATTCATTACAAGCAATTTGTACATTCTGTGCTAAGAAGAATGGATCCCAATATGAAGACCTTATAAGATCCGAGAAAATTGACCAATTCACAGAAGAGAATGGGCGATAATTTATCACTGATTCTGTCGGTTTAGAAAGAATTTGGAAAGAACAACCAACAATGTTATGATCACTACCCGGCAACTTGTCACTGATGTATGTGGACACATGCGAACATCCCATCGTAAATATTAGATCAAGTGTGTTTCCAAGCCGTGTAGGTTCTGTGACGTGCTGTACCCATCCCAGTCGATCAAGAGTAGACATAAAAGGATTGTGTTTTTGTGGTTTATTGTTAAGGGACCACGGGATTTCGGGCATATTAAAATCCCCAGCGATTATTTTGTTAGTGTATGAGAGGTCAGCAATAAGAGAGAAAGTGTCCAACAAGTCATCGGTCACGGTGAGTGTAGACGATGGGGGTCTGTAAATACAACCTACTAAGAGATTTGTTGGATTAATAGAAATTGTAATCCACACCGAATCAGGAAGTCTCTGGAGGAATGGTTCATTCAGAGGCAGAACCAAGTATTTGTCTTTGACGTAGATTATACAGCCACCACCTCTACCATAAAGACGGTCATTACGAAAGATGTTATAACCCAGTATCCTGAACAATGTGTCAGACATCTCTGCTGAACACCATGTTTCTGTAATTAGTACTATATCAGGAGAAGAAAGGTGAAGGATATTACGCAGGAAGTGCATTTTATTTAACAGTGAACGGGAATTAATTAAAAGTAAGTGCAGTGTCTTGTTATCCGTTGGGTTGTCTACAGGAATCCAGGTACAGGACCCCAACGAGGTGGTATTTGGAGAGAGTGGAGTGGGGGTGGTGGATACGGAGGACATATAATTTGCGGAATTAGTGTCATTTGGGGGTGTGGCGGGTAGAACGCCACTGGACCCCCAAAAAAGGTTGGAAGGGTGAAATACTGGGAAAATGGCGACCCACTGGGAGATTACAGTTTTCTGGCTGTTGCACATAACCTACGTGCCAGTTAAGATTATTTACATGTTGAGGTAGTTTGAGAGGATTTTGGTTGGGCCAATTTCTCTCAGCTACTTGAAGTTCCCTAGCAAGTGGCTCACAAGTTATGGAGCGCACAGGTCGCATATTCAAATGCTGCATGGTTGGAGATATGCCGATTGTCTGCTGGTTTTCAGTGGTGACAGCGTTTGGTGGAACGTTTAAAATAGCTGTGTTTTTATTGTGCTTAGGAGCACCCGTGTAGATTCCACGTGAGGTTTTGCTACCAGTGTTCTTTGCAACAAGGCTGTTCCGCAGTTTTAAAGGTTCGCAGCTTTTAGGAGAGGAGGTTTTCAGTTTCGTACCAGAGCGTCTATGCACCTGGTTGGTGAACGACAAAGAGTGAGTAGAAATAGTCGTTTGCGCAATGGAACTTTCTTGTATGTTCGGGGACGAGTTGCGCGGTAATGCTGGACTAATGTGACACTGAATGGAGTCAGAAGCGATATTTTTATGACAGTTGCTATTTGATTTCAACCTTAGAGCTGATTCATTTATGATCAGAGTGTCATCTAGGTCAACCAGGTGGGGAAGTTCCTGAGTTTCCGTGGGTGGCGGAACATATTGGTCACATACTGTTTGTCGGAAATAGGCTTTTTTGCACTCCCTTTGTAGTACTGTTAAATCTGGTTTCAGGACCATGGATACGTAATCTTTCCTAAGGGATAGTGCGCTCCTACTACAAATGAATTTTTCAGCAAGTGTGTCGTTTGAAAATTTAAAGAGTACTGGACAGACCTGCTTCGGAGATTTCTTTCGCAGCCTCACACAAGAAAACTGCCGTCTTTCAATATGACAGTCGTTTGCCACTGCAGAGGAGATAGACTCAAGAGATAACTTTTCTGGTAAATTAAATGCTATAACATTTTTGGAGCGTTTAATGCGATCATGCACCTCAAATGCAACATGTTGTATAAGATTCCCAACGGATCGAAGGTGTTCGATTTTTGGTGTATCTGGAGTATTAAAAAGATACTTAATCGAGTTAAATTGCTCTAGCACTTGGTACAGAGATTCAAACCTTTCCTTCAAATCCTTCAGCTGTAATTCAAGCGCAGCAATCGTTTCAATCGCTTTAATGGGCGATTCTGCAGTAACTGCGCTGTGCTCTATCAGAGAGACCTTATGAGAACTATCATTTGATTGCTTTTCTACTCTTTCGCGCAACTTCGGCTTTATTTTCATCTTAGATGATGAGCCTTTAATTTTTTCCGTGCTGACGGATTGGTTATAAGCAGGATGTTTTGCCAGCATTTCAATGGCTTCCTGTCTCTTCTTTGAGTTTCTTGTTTTAACTGAGGTAACGAGCATTTTTACTGATTGGTCACTCGGTTTTAGGGCTTGTGAAAACTATTTTATGTGGACAAGGATAAGAAAATAGGGGACAAATTTCACCGTTTTTGTTTCAGTGATCAAGAGGAATTAAACAGTTATCGACAAACCGCCGAGGAAACAGACTAGGATTTTAGGGCTTATACGACCTATCAAAAGTGCACGAGAATTCACACAGGTCCAAACAGGCCACGGTTACAGATGCAATGATCGATACAAACCAACCGGTTGTAAGAGCGCTCAGTTGTCCAAACTCCGCCGAGGGTAGATTGTCCTTCAAAAATCGACCGCTCCGTGCACAGGTAGCCCTGAGGTCAATTCCGTGGCGCGCCGCGTCACGTTATGCCGCAAGTTCCAACAGGCGCACACGCACAAATCCGGCCAAACAAAGAGATTTGCGTGCGTTCGATAGAGCGCGATTCACAATGCGACGTGAGAGATCTTGGTCAACCAAGGCGGTGTATGAAAATATAATTGCTTCTAGTTGCCTTGTGCAGCTACCAACAGGGTTGGTTTAGGTCTCTTGAAGAAGACCTAGCAGTAAGCTTTCTGATAAGTCCAAAAACCTTGATAAAGGCAGAAAATTGGTGCACTTGTAGGCAAACGACCGTGCTGAAACACAGTCAAAATTGAAAACCAGCTTTTGACGTTGATCCGTTTATAGTACCGTCAAGAAAGCTTGCGCAATGGGTAGACCTGATCGAGCCCGATTGAATGAGTGTACCCAGGCCGATGTGCGAAGAAATTTGAATCCGAAAACTTGAGAAGACAGGAGCAACGAAATAATCCCGACCAGCACGGCGAGTGACACACGCGAGTGAAGGCAAACAATTGTATCAGCGCCGCGACACTTTTTCCGTGGTCCATCTCTGCCTCACGACTTCCAATCGAGACGTCATTCCTTCCTGCAACAGGCATGCCGTATATCGCCAACTGCATTCCGCCTACCCCGATATGAACAGAATGAAGGTAATTGCCCACAGTTCTGTGTACTGGCGTGGCATTGATGACATTGAAGATTTAGTTCGCCGTTGCTCAAGATGTCAACAAGCATCTAAGATGTCACCATACCAACCACCAGTTCCTTGGCAACGGATAGAAAAACTGTGGTCTTGAGTGCACATCGAGTATGCTGGTACGATCGATTGCATCTCTTAAATAGTCGCGGTCAACGCCTGCTCCAAATGGCCTGAAATGCTCGCCATCAACCCACCAACCGCATCCGACACGCTGATTTGACTACAACTAATCTTCAGTCAACATGCCCTTCTAAGATCTTGGTGCCCGACAATGACTCCATGTTTACCTCTTACATGTTCGGAGACTTCTGTCGCCGTCATTGCATCCAACACCTATGCTCACCGCCCTAATATCCCCAGGTGGGGACGTTTGTCAACACCTTCAAGAAAGCACTATAAGTTTCGTGGGGAGGGGACTGTGGATGAATGCCTTCAAGCGTACCTGCTCTCTTATTGGTTCACACCAAATCCAGCCGCCCCAGGATGCGTCTCCAGGTGAAGCATTGATAGGCCGTAAGCTACGCACCACTCACGAGGTGCTCATTTTGATCGAAGTGCCACCAAGTTAATCTACTGCCTGCGCAAAGCATAATGAATTCGTCAATGGAGACACGGTATACGCCCATGACTATTGAGCGGATCACCCACGATGGATGGAAGCAACAGATACAGCCCGTCGCGGTGATTTAGAGCACCAGGTCTTCGTGGACGATGACAAGTGGGTCCACCATCGCGATCAACTTCGTCCGCGACATGAATAACACTCCGAGAAAGCAAGTCTTTCTGCGCACCGGCCGCTGCATAGCATGTTGGGTACATTTGGAATTGCAACGGATCGGAAGATGCCGGTTGAAGCCGCCCAATCATCGCCACATCTAGACAACCCGCCTTAGCGACGAACGGGAAGAACCTGGAGATCGCCGAAAGCACTGCAGGTCAATCCCCGCCAGAAGCGGTAGAACCTGTCTCTAAGGAGTGGTGTTGATGGAACGTCAAGTAATCCCGCAAAAATATGCAACAACCGCCAATATGTGAGCTGCGCTACGCGGAATTCCATTCCTACTCACAGCGCAACAGGATGCAGCCAGTCCGAGAAAGGGCGCAACGGTGAACAATGCTCCTTCGTAAACCACCTGTCCGATGTAGTGATCCATTTCACCCACAAAATGAAGTGCTGTGCCAACTGTGATCGGCCTGTGTGGGACGTAAAAGAACTCATAAAGGTCCACCTTGCCTTTCGTTAACTCTCTCGTGCCGCTGGAAGGGATATGCGTGGTCAAGTGATCGTGCGTCAGGCTGTACCATTTTTACAGGCAACAAAGTGCACGGCGCCAATAAGTTCGCTGATCAAAGTATCAAAATCACGTTGTTCATTCAAGATAGCACGCCTACGAACCCAGTCCAGTGCGTGTGTACTTGTAAGCAGCATGGAGTGAAAATCTCATGGATCATGGGGCAATAGCTTATGGGACACCAGATATAAGCACAGGGCAAGAAGTATGCGTATATGGGGTACAGGAGTGCATTATGGGACTGCTCTCGAACATGTCACATTGTTGTTAACAGGAGGCAAACAGGGATGAGGGTTAGGGATAGAGGTTTCGAACAGAGTGGCAGACTAAAGATAGACGACTAAAAATGAAGAGTTTGAACGTTCTACCTGTACACCCCATTAACAGCTCTTCTTAACACAGAGTTACCAATGGTTCGCGTTCAATTTCTGATGGAAAGTGCCAACTTTCTAGGGTTCGTCATTGACAAACATGACCGACGTCCGGATCCCGCTAATATAGAAGCCGTCAATCAAATGCGACCACCAAGGGATGTTGCTGGACTTCGTCCATTTCTCGGTCTTATTTGTCAAGTCTACATCCGACAAGAGACCCTCTGAACGAGTTGCTGACGAAAGGTACAGAATGGTGATGGACAAAGGAGTGCCAACAATCCTCTGATATAGTTAAAGCAGCGCTCAGTTCTGATTTACTTTTGACCCACTTCAACCCCAATTTGGAGATTGTTGTTGCATGGGACGTCGCCAATTATGGGGTAGGTGCTGTCATTTCTCTCGTGTTCCCAGGAGGAGAAAGGAAGGCCATTGCGCATGTAGCACGGTCGCTAACAGTGGCGGAGAAAAATTACAGCCAGATTGATAACGAAGCGCTGGTGATAGTTTTCGCAGTGAAACGGTTACATTAGATGCTATATGGTAGACATTTCAAACTGGTCGCGGAGCACAAACCTCTACTCTCGATATTTGGATCAAAGAAGGGTATTCCTGTTTCCACAGCAAGTCGCTTACATAGATGGGCAACCGTACTGCTGGCTTGCGATTTCAGTATACAATACCAATCCACACAACAACTCGGCCAAGCTGACGCTCTATCTCGCCTCCTCAGTTCCCACTTGAAGGAAAACGATGACTGTCTGATTGCATCTGTCAAATTCGAGTCGGAAGTTCAGCGCATCCTGGTTGACAGTGTAAGGGAGTTGCCAGTAACGTCGGACACGATTCGTGCAGAGACGGCTCAAAAGAGATATCTTGCTGAAAGTGATAGGGTTTGTGCAGTCCAATTGGTCCAATGTCAGAATTTTGTATGAGTTACAACCTTTATTTAATCGACGCGGATCCCTTTTCGGTCGTTGAGAATTGTCTAATGTTCGGAGACCGAGTCGTGGTACCAAAGAAGTTGCGGAAGCAAATACTACAGCAGTTTCATTCAGGACATCCGAGAACCAGCCGAATGAAGGCACTGGCGCGAAGTTTCGTGTATTGGCTTCAAATAAATGCAGAAATCGAGCTGTCCTGCCGAAGTTGTGAATCTTGTCAACAAGCGGCAAAGGCACCTCCGAAATGTTCGTGGCATCCTTGGCCCGAGTCGAAGAAGCCCTGGCAGAGAATCCACTTGGAGTATGCGGGACCAATCAGCGGTCAATCTTATTTGATTTTTTGTTGATTCTTACACGAAATGGCCCGACGTGATTCCGATGCAAAATCCCAACGCCAAGTACATTACCAATGAGCGGAACAAACAGTTCCAGTATTTTTGCACCCCGGAGATGCTGGTTACAGATAACGGAGCCCAGGTCACTTCAGCGCTGCTCCGAGAGTTTTGCATGCAAAACGGAATTCAGCACAAATTTTCGCCGTCGTACCATCCACAATCGAATAGACAAGCCGAACGGTTTATAGATACCTTTAAACGTGCTCTTCTCAAAGCGGAAGGAACGAGGGTGTCACGAGATGCAATCCAACCGTTTTTGAGAATGTATCGAAGCACTCCGAATCCAAACACACCGGAGGGTAAATCCCCTTCTGATTGTCTATTTGGACGAAAATTTCGAACGACATTTGATAACCTGATTCCCAGAAGGGTTGGAAAACGCAACGGACAACCGAGAGAGGGGCAGGATAACAGGCTTCGCACGTTCAAGATTGGCGAGTTGGTGTATGCACGCAACTTCCAGACCCCGGAAAGATGGGTTAGCGAAACGGTTAGTGGAAAGAGGGGTGAAGTTATTTATGAGATAATGGTCGGAAAGGACATCAATCATATACGACAGCGGCATGGCAAAACTCAAGGACATCAAGAACCAGCGGCAGCACAGTGGGACATACTACTGGATACATTTGGTTTAGAAAACAGAACTGATCTCCAAAGCGGAACACAGCCGGTCGCACAGACGCCACACGACGTGGTATGCAGGCCAAGTCGAAGAAGAAGGCAACCGCGATGGTTACAAGTGGACCCCAGGGTAAAAAGCTACGACTAAGCCCAAGTGCGGAAAATTGGTAGGAGCAATCAATTCAAAGGGTGAGGTAATAGAGAGGTAGGCGGAGCCATTGTCCAGATACGAGGTCGCGCACAGGCGTACCGCGGAGCACGTGAGCTGTCTGCTGCATACGAAGGCCACCAGCATGGGCGTGGAACGACCTTCAACTAATTTGCCAAATTTGGGAATCGGGTGCAAACTGATTGGCCAGCAAATACAAACCCGGATCAACGGAGGCGAATCATTCTGCCAAATATGGAAAATCCGTGGGACGGAATCAACTCACATTGGCTGAGAGCCAAACGCTTAAAAAATTGGCATGTTTCGTTCACCAATAAATAAAACTGACCGGTCGTGAAGAATAGACTCCCTGTTTACCGAGCCTTGGCCTTCTGTATTCCGTCGGTTGGTTGGGCGTGTGACTGAGCAATCAGGCGGTCGTAGTCTCGCAGGCGCAGAATAGCAGCAGTGCAGGAGTACGAAAACAGCTTTACAAAAGTTTCAACCCTGCGAAATGTTGTCCGCACGCAGCTTATTTTGTGGCACTTTGCGTGTTTGCTGTTGAAGTCCAAGATTTGGTCTGTATGTGTACCTTGCCTGTATACGGATTTTTGAAATTCACCATTCTTTGCTCTGGTCACCAACACACCCAAGAACGGGAGCATGTTTCCTGCCTCTAGCTCCACTGTTAACGGAATCCTATCCATTGCATTATTGAGTAGTTGGTGTGCGAGTGCTACTGCACTGCGTTTGAGTATTTCAAATGTATCGTCGGCATAGCGTACCCACAACTTCGGGTTAATATATGGTAGTAGATCTCTCTCAACTTTTGAAGGACGATCTCAGCG